TAATATAACTAATACATGTATGAAATATATAATAAATAGTATATATGATATATATATGATAAATAATATAAGTGTCTTAAAAACCATAGATAATAGATATAGTACATGTAATGAATCTTCTGCAGTAATCATCAGCTAATCAGATCGTACAAATTATGATAAAAAGCTAGATCTTAATTATCTCAAGATCTAGTAATTGAATTTTAATGATTCTTAGCTCATTAGAACCATCTCAGTAAGCTGATTCCAATGGTATGTATTTTATCCAATTTGAACTAGTAAATCGAAAGATATTAAAGAATTTGTATTTTTCTTTATGTTTTATAGGTCAATACTATAAATCTAGTGACATCTGGAAATTAGTAAATGAGACAATATTAGAAAAAATAACAAGCCTAATACAAGACTTACTTGAGATTTGTAATGCTGCTGTAGTGCAGGTCCAAAAAGCTCAAGACACAATGAAAGATAAATGCAACAAGAATATCAAGAAATGGTCTAAATTAGAAATAGGAGACAAGGTATTAATATATCATGTAGTATTACAATACAACAGAAGCGTAAAGTTTGAGCCAAAATGAAAAAGACTATTTTACATACATGAGGTACGAACCTTAGAAGAAAAAGTAATCACTATGCTAGTTAATATTAAGTTATTAAAGAAATACTATAAACAATAAAAAAATAAAATAAAAAAATAAAAAAAAAACAAACAAACAAAAAGAATAGAAGATCTAGAGATAACATTTATAAAAAAAAAAAAATTGATTAGATCAAAAGAGGTAAAATAAAGAAATAAAAAGACCAACAGAATGGGAAAGAAAGAAAAGTAGAGTTTGAAAATGACGCTCAGCTTTTTGGAAATCTTTAAAGACTTCATCGCCATAAACCCCACTACCGACCCCATGATCCCCGTTATAATTCTGATAATGACTTAACTATGTGCATAACATTATTGTTCGCACAAATAAAGAAGACTATCAGACTTAAGAATCGCATACATATCTTCGCATACTGTTATTACTTAGGGATGGCATATGCGAATGCAACCACGGATCAGATAACACACCTAAGAAAGCTTACTACAAAATATTACTATATAAACTCACTACGTGTATATGATATTTTCTCTAAGTACGGGTTAGAACAAATTTACCGAACCAAAAACATAACCCTCCGTGATGTTAGTCTACTGATAATTGGGGAAATGCAGAGATTAGTTGACCAAAGTTCGTGGAACTCACCCATAAGTGGGGAGGAAATGTTACGTGGCGAAGTCACGTGGAACGAGACCTCAGCAATTCCAAATTAAGGCTTCCCGGGCTGCATTGGCAACTCCGGCCACTACGGCTAAAAAGGCAGTAAAGGCATATCTGACCTGGAGGGCTAGATGGGGGTTATAGACAGTAAGGGGGAAAAGGGCGATGTAGCCAGTATAGTGA